CACCTGAAAATGTCCTAGAACAACCCGCTTCTATAAGGTATATAGACCCTCTATAGGGCTCCTATAAGGGTAAGTACCCACCTGAAAATACCCTAAACCCTAAACCCTAAACCCCTAACCACAACGGAAACTACCCACCTGAAAATGTCCTAGATTAAGTAGGTCTGGCGAAAGTCTGGGTTGGGAGGCTCTCGGAGTGTGGACTTACTGTTGATGATAGAAATCCTTCGCATGGCCTTAAGGGGTTTAGGGTTGGGTTTGGGGGTTTGGGCTTTAGGATACAAATCCTTAGCATGGCCTTAAGGACCCTAAGCTAAAAGAATTATGGCATATTCCTTATTCTGGGTATTGCAGGATTTATATCATCAACCGTAGGAACATGTACTCTCACATGCCCTGGCTACTGAGCTACAGAACTAAACCCCTATACCTACTTATAGTCGCTGTATCACTACCTGTAGCCGAAAAAACCTTCCTTGTTAAGACAATATATACATATACATATATATATATATAGAGATATAGAAACTAAAATAAGGAGCCCTAAAAAGGTGGGTCTTTTCGGCTACAGGTATTCTCTACTACACCCTAAAACTCTGGTCCAGGCAGCCGCGACCCAAGGGAGCTCGCGGATTTGAAAGGGAATCACAGGCGGGCGATCAGCGCGCTCCCACTGCAGCGACCTAGCAAAACATGCTGATATAGAAACAACGTAAGCATGCCCGTTTCGGGGAGTTACATCATCTGAAGAATAGGATGTTTTCTATGTGGTGATGTGTTTTAGGGATTATTGGACTACAGTTGGATGACGGTGATGTAATTACCCAAAACGGGCATGCCCATCGGCAAGATGGATTTTGGAAACCCGTATTTGAGTAGGCTTATTGATAACGAGTGTAAAAGTGTAGGGGGGGTATGAGATTGTATCCATCTTACCCAACGGGCGTGGCCTACCCTAACTGAATATGGCACCGATTTTTAAGAAGCATCGAATAAGTTCTTACATGTCTCCAACCTTAACAAGGCCACAGCAGCCCCCACAATCTGACAATAACCAGCCATAAGGTGTATAAACCTGCTCACGTCGCAGCAAACCTTCAAGCCTCTCGATCGGCTGCACCCTAAAAAAAGCCGCCCCTAAACCCTAAACCCTATGCCCAATAACCCCTAAACCGCCCCGACACCCTAAATCCTAATCCCAATGTCCAATAACCCCTAAAACGCGCCGAAGAGCATGATCTGGACCGCTCTGTTGCAGAAGTTGGGCCCAAGGCGGGTCTTCCAGGAGACAGCGTAGGCGTAGCGTTGGAGAATGTCCGGCCAGGAGTGCCTCAAGGGTTCAGGGTCTGTGGGGCTTTAGGGTTTATAGGGTTTAGGGCTTAGGGTTTAGGGTCTAGGGCCCTCCTTGAAGAGCCTTTGAGTACAGCGTCCCCATGAGGTGTCGGGGTTTAGGCTTTTAGGGATTAGGGTTTCGGGTTTAGGGAGGGTCATCTAACGACTCGAAAGCCCTACTCCAAGTATAAAGGCCCCTACCTTAAGCTACCATAACCTACTTTTTTGTAGGTGTTTATTATAAACCCTACTATGGAATTTGTAGGGACCCTACAAACTTAGTAGGTTTTGGTAGGTTAAGGTATACGATGCAAACCCGAACGAACCCGGTCCTGATAGCAATGGGCACAGCACTCGCCGCGGAGGGGCACGCGATGCGCAGCTCCTGGGCAAAGCAGTGGGGTTTTTTATTTACACAAAACCCTGTAAACTTTACGCAGACGGGGAAAAAGGATACTAAAACCATGGAGATAGCCCCCTGAAAGACCATTCGAATCATGGGTTTTGGGGGACCCAATTCCATAAGAGGTTAGGGTTTAGGGTTTAGGAGTATCTTTGGAGCCTAGTTGATACTCCAAGGGATTCAGAACCTCATTTCTCAGAAAACCTTCATCAAACCCTTTGACTTGACTTATGACACCCTATAGCCCTAAACCCTACAACCCTAAACCCAATAAACCCTAAACCCCTAAACCTCATAACCCTAAACCCTATAACCCTAAGTCCGTACTTTAAACCCAAGTCTCGGGTTTGCTGCCTTGGAAGCCGGGATACTCTCGGAGATGCATCACCTGCTTGCCGCAAGACCCTGGTCTGCAAAAAAGGGCTTATGGGGTTGATTTGCATCGTTCTCCAATTGAGGGTCCCTCTCCGGTATCCAAATATAGTATGGCAGCCTTATAACAAGGACCTCAAAAGGGAGCCTAATTTAGAGAGCTGCCCATTTTTGGCTTGAGGATTAAAAGGTTGATTCAGTTTAGGGTTTATGGCTTAAGGTCAATGGTTTGGGCTTAAGGGTTTAGGGATTAGGTTCAGCGTCCGGGGTACATAGGGCTGTTTTCGGGGTTTAGGGTTTTCAGTGTTCAGGGTTCATAAGGTTTTGGGTTTCCCATTCCCTGCTTCCGACATTTCCGCAACGAGCGACTTATCAAAACGCGCCAATCCAAGAACTGAAACTGCAGAATATGCGGAAAACCTTCAAAATAAAACATCCGAAACCCCATCACCCTCAATCCCCAGTATGGAAACAAAGCGGGGGCATAATGAGGTTAAACGCCTCAACCAAACAGCAAGAAAGGTACCTCTAGATGTTGAACCCAAACCTGCAAGCACCGAGGCATGCAAATACAAGAATACCTCCATACAACCTTCAAACATCTGAAGCTGAAACATCAAGTAGTAGAAATGCACACGAACAAAACCAGAAATAGCAAACAAGATACAGGCAAAAGTGTAGACCCTAAACCCTAAACCCTAAAGCTACAGAGCCCAAAATCTTCAAGCCAGAGCCGTGCTGAAGATCCCAGGAACCGGTAGCCAGCTCGAACGAAAGTGCGAGGACAAGAGATCCGCCAAGCTCATATCGAAGAGCCTGCGCAGCGCTTCGTACCCTCAACCCTAAACCCTAAACCCTAAAACCCTCAACCCTAAACCCTAAATCCCAAAAGGTTAAAGGCTACCTGCTCGGGCCCCAAGTCCTTATGGCTGTTGGGGTTTAGGGTTTAGCAGAGAGTTTTTTGCCGCCAGTGATCTCACGAGCTACTAAGTACAAGGATCGAAGCTCTAAGGGTTCAGGCCCTAAGTAGTTCCTTTTTGTGGCTTATATTCAGAATCCTACAGGATAATCCCAAAAAGGAACTACTTAGGGGCCTATGGGTAGTTGGAGTACTTGCTGTGTTTAGGGCTTAGGGTTTGCGGAAGCAAAGACCAACGTCGAGGTGCCACTGCTCATAGGGAACAAACCACCATGTCGGCGGAAGGAGGTTCACCATTGAGCTCTGCGAGTCATAAAGATGGTTCAGCCATCCGGCCTGGGCTGATGTACCCATAGGCCCCCAAGCAGTTCCTTTTGGGTACTGTGAGGGCCTTCTGTCCTAAGTCTTAAGAACTCAAAGTAGGGTTTGGGGGCATACAGCCCTATGGAACACTACTAGTGACTAGTGATGGTTCGACCCCTATGTTAGACCACGGATGCTTGAAACAAAGGGATCATTTTACATACATATGTCAAATCCTGAGGCTCCTAAAGAAAGGACTTTCGTCTACCAGGCCCAAACCTAAACCCTAAAACCCTAAACAAACAGTTTACAGTAGAAGCCCAAAAAGGTTGGAAACCCAATAGCCTCAATCCTTAAGAACAATGTATAGGGAATCCAAGCACTGTTTGTCCTTTTTCCGGTTTCCTACTTTTTGGGGTTTACTTTAGTATGTAAGAGTTTGGAGGGTTTGAGGTTTAGCGGTTCAGAGTGTGCGGTGTCAGGGGCTCGTCGATTGAAAGTGAATCAGGATCTTCGCATAATGTAGGAAAGTCATTAAGACTCTTAGGAACCCGATCGTTCATAATTGTCTTACGGATTTGATGCACTCACCGAAGTCCGAAGTCTTCAGCACAAGCGACTTCACACATTCAGCCATGTTGCCAAGAAATCTCGAAAGATGCCCACGGGATAAAGGGTGGTGGTGGTGTTGGATGTGGTGTCTTGTGGAACCTCCGAGAAGAGTTGCGCCAGGGTCCGCTTGCGCAAGCCGTCCAGATGCAGGAGGAGGACGTCCGTGGACAGCACAGTGTGGCCCCACCTGCACAGCAATCTAAACCCTAGTTGTTGACTTCCTTGGCGCCAAGAGAGGAAACGTGCGAACATACTAAATAGGGTTTTGGGCCCATTATACTACAACATAGCAAGGAACCCCCACAATAGTATAGGTAATTATTTAGGCCCCTACATTACACCCTAAATCCTGAGCCCTAAACCCTAAACTCTGAACCCTAAACCCTACACCCTAAACCCTAAGCCCCTACACCCCTGAGCCCCAATCGGACCCCAGATTTCAGGCCGCGACCTGGCATATTCCAGGTGTCGTGGTGCCCAAATCAAGGAGTGCTCCGTGAATTGGTGTTCCTGACTGCCCGTTGAGGGTTAAGGATAATTTGTGTTCCTCACTGCCGAATTTCGGGTTTAGGGTTTAGGGTAATGTGTGAATTTCGGGTTTAAGGTTTAGGGTTTGTGCTCCTCACTGCCCAATTTCGGGTTTAGGGTAATTTGTGTTCCTCACTGCCCAATTTCGGGTTTAGTTTTTAGGGAAACCCTAAACCCTTTTGCCCTTAACCCTAAACCCCTACCTGGACCCCAAAGAACCTACCTTTTTAGGGCTCCTTATCATGATTTCCTTGTATTATATAGGTCCTTAAACAGGTAGGTTCTCTTGGGTTATAAGGTAGGGCCTAAATCCTTCATGTTTACAAGCGCAACAAAACCCGAAAAGTTCTATGATCCGCAAAGGCTGCCCTTCGTAACGACCTAGTACATACAAAGTTCCCTTGTTCTTGGTAGGGAATGGGGGAATGGATCCCATGAGAGTCCTGTAAGGTCCCACTATAGTAACCCTAAACCCCTAAACCCTAAACCCCTAAACCCTCACCCGAAACCCCTAAACCCTAAACCCTAAACCCATTCCTCCATTCCCTACGGAAAAGAGCCGGTGAGAAGAACAATGAACTCCGAGGCTCCCCGGTAATATACGGGCCTGAATGATTGGAATAGGTTTTCTTGGTGGGTTCTTATAAAGGGTTCCTTAAAGGGTTCTATAAAGGGCTACTATGAGGGTTTAGGGAGTAGGGGCCTTATTAATTGGAATAGGTTTTTTGGGGGTTCCTTATTATAACTATAGTATAGTGGGTCCCAAAACCCTATTTTAATTATTAAGGCCCCTGTATTAGCCCTTTAAAGCGGTTAAGGGTTAGTTTAGGGTTTTAAGGGTTCAGGGTTTAGGGTTTATAGGGCTTAGTGTGTTTAGGGTTTAGGGGTTCATAGGGTTCAGGGTTTAGGGTTTACGGGGTTTAGGGTTTATAGGGTTCAGGGGGGTTGTAGGGTTTAGGGGTTGATAAGGGTTTAGGGTTTAGGGGTTTATAGGGTTTTAGCTTATAGAGTTTAGGGTTTAGGGTTGAATCAGGTTACCCATTTTTTCCCCCGTTTTTGGCTTCAAGAAGGGAACCCAAAAAGGAAAAGGGCACTTCAGGGTATTACTGGGGAACCAAGGCTCCAAACACTCAGAAGCCGCTTGAACTACCCGAAACCATGTGCCCTACACCCTCAAGCCGCAAGGCTCTTAAGCAAAACAGGAATCATGAGCCCTGAACCCATGTGCCCTTCGTAATTCCTAGGCTGTTGAGTGACCCGCTGAGAAAGTAGATGCTTTCTTGGGTTCCAGTATTGTTCTTTAATCTCTTATTTTTATTACTATTATAGGAACCCAACAACACCATAATTAAGGATACTACTGAACATCCCAAATTTCCAAGTGTCATGATAAAGCATGCAGATGTCGCCGACGAAGAAGGGTCCTCGGTCCTTCTCGTGGACGTGTTGACTTGGTGGCAGGGTTTGGGGTTGGGGTAGGGTTTAGGGTCTCACCCTAAACCCTAAACCGGGATTTAAGGTTCAGGGTTCAGGGCTTTAGGGTTTTGGGGCTTAGGGCTTGGGGCTTCAGGGCTTGGGGTTTAGCGTTTAAGGATTCGAGCTTAAGGTTTGTAGGTAATTCTTCGGGGATCCCAAGCCCTGAACCCGAAGGCTAAACCCAAATCAAACACCTAAGCCCTAAACCCAGGTGTCGGGTTTACCTGTAGCCTAAAGAACCTACCTATTTTAGGGCTCCTTATTATGAATGCTGTATGTACGTCCTTAAACAAGTAGGTTATTTCGGTTTAAAGTAAGGCATCAAACCGCGAACTCGGAACTCTGAACTAAATACTTAGAATAGGCTGCAAATGTATCCCCACATGCCTGCACCTGCGACAGATGCACCCCAAACCCCCGAAGCACTAACCCGACTCCCATCCTCGGCCCTGAACCCTAAATCCTAAACCCTAAATCCTAAACCGCGTTCTAGAATCAGAAGCTGTAACCTGCAGAAGCCCGGCGACTCAGGTCCTTCTCGCTGATGTCGAAAAAAAGCAGGAACCTGCACTTTGAAGTAACCAAGGAGAAGAAAGTATATATGCTTTCTGAATCATTATGGAACAGGTCCCCCAAAAACAAGACTTCCCGTAAACTCTAAACCCCTAAATCCCTAAACCCCAAAAGGCCTAAACGGCCTAAATCCCAAACCCTATGAACCCTAAACCCTATAAACCCTAAAGGACCTAAACGGCCTAAAGCCTAAACCGTATGAGCCCTACAAACCCTAAACCCTTATAAACCCCTTAACCCTACAAGCCCGAAAAACCCTATAAACCCTATAAAACCTAAAAACCATAAACGGTAGATGGTACTCCAGAACCCAGGAACGCCACGTCGGGCGGAAACCAGATGTGAGGAGCTGCAGCTGCGAAGATGACAGGACAGGACCTTTGAGATTTTTGGGGGTTTATAATCGGGTTAGTTCAGGGTTGATAGGGTTTAAAATCGGGTTAGTTTAGGGCTAATGGTTTATAGGGTTTATACTCGGGTTAGTTTAGGGTTTATAAGGTTGTTTCGAGCTTAATAGGTTTTTGGGGTTTATAGGTTTATAGGGTGTATATTCTAGGTTGGGTACTGCCCCCAATATACAGTTTCAGTCTATAATAGTTCTACTGTCGTCGTCGTCGTCGTCGTCGACGTCGTCGTCGTCGTCGTAGTAGTAGTAGTAGTAGGGTGGAGCAGTGTGATAAAAAAAATTCTTTAATAAGAAATTAGAGTCTCGAAGCTCGCCAGATTTAGAAATCCAGGGTCGTAACAACTTATTTACAAAAAATTGCTCTTATGCGGGATTCGATGCTCTTGAAGTAACTTACGCTGCATTTAAGCACCATCACCCCTTTCCAGCAGCCGGGTGTCACCGTGCCCGCCGGCTGAACGAGGTTCACCTGCGCAGGTGCCATTACTTGCGAAATGTGAAGGTCATCAGGGTGCTTCGTGTGCCTTTGTAAGCCGAAAGTAACCACCCAAACCTGAATTGATTTTGAGACGGGATGCTCGTGCAACAGCAGGCTTCTCAAGGGTTTGCTGTCAGGGCCAAGACTTTTGAGTTCCAGGCTGACAGATGACAAAACTGAAAGCGGCCCTATCTCGGCGAGATAGTGCGATTTTGATCTTGTAATGGGAGAATCACGGCAGACATTCATTACCACCTGATATTCTTGCCACAGAGGGTACAGTGGATAAGGCTGCAGGTGTCGGCCAAGTTTACTGGTTCGCCCTCACACCTTTTTCCGGAGATGGCCGTCACAACTCGCTCTTGCTTGGCAGCTGCGTCCCTTCTTCCTTCGCCACCTCATGGAGGACGCTCCGCACGACGAGACATCCTTCAAACCGTTTTCTCAGAATCTGGGTCTTCAAGCTGGCATGCGCCGCAAGTGCGCTTGCTCAGCTTTAGCTGCCCGGACCAGCTCACGAATTTCTGCGTTAGTCAAGCTCCTGCCAACGGCTCCTGATCAGGACCCAGGCTGCTCAAGCTGAGGCTTTGAACTGGAACCAGTTTCTGGATGGGTGATTTAGCCCAGACGAACCGAAATAGCCCCATCTCGCCGAGATAGGGTGATTCAGGCCCGACGAACCGAAATAGCCCTATCTCGCCGAGATAGGGTGATTTAGCCCCGACGAATGCCGAGATAGGCCCGACAAGCCGAAATAGCCCTATCTCACCGAGATAGGGTGATTTAGCCCCGACGAACCGAAATAGCCCGATATAGGGTGATTTAGCCCCGATGAACCGAAATAGCCCTATCTGAGCGAGATAGGGTGATCTAGCCCCAACGAACCCAAATAGCCCTATCTGGGCGAGATAGGGTGATTTAGCCCCGACGAACCGGGTCCTGGAGCAACTGGAGGGCACCGCCTGGCCGTTCGAATTGAGGAGCTCGGCAGGCGTCTGGATGTTTGTTGCGCACATGACTCGCGAGAGCTTTGCTGGTTTTGTAGCCCTCGTCGCACAGGTGGCAGATGTGAGGCTTAACATCGGCCACAAGTCGTCCGTCCAACGTGCGTTGCCGAATTAGCGGGGAGCGCGGCTTATGAGGGGTTTACTCAGTTTGTGCCTGGGAGGTTCAAAGTGGTTCCCTGCTCAGCTGTGCAGATTTGAACTCGCTCGCTCGACAAATCATTCCCTAAATAAGCCACGCTGCGACAGATCAGCACAAGCTTGTTCACGAATCTGGTGGTGGTGGTGGTGGTGGTGGTGGTGGTGGCGGTGGCGGCGGTGGTGGTGGTGGCGGTGGCGGTGGTGGTGGTGGTGGCGGTGGCGGCGGCGGCGGTGGTGGTGGTGGGGGTGGTGGNNGTGGTGGGGGTGGTGGGGGTGGGGGTTGGGGTGGGGAGTGGCGGTGGTGGTGGCGGGGAGTGGTGGTGGTGGGGAGTGGTGGTGGCGGTGGTGGTGGTGCCCCGTTCTAAAAAGCTTAGAGCTATGTACCTCGCTTTCTAGATTTATGATTTTGGGGTTTTGGTCTGGGTTAGTGTTCCTAAGCGCTCAACTGAGCCCTGAAGCAGGGCCACCCTTGTGCCTCTTCCAAGGCGTTCTTTGCTTCGGCTTGTCGAAGTAGTTCCGGTCGACCTTCCAGAGTTTTAAGTTCTGGGTTTCTAGTTTGGGGTCTTGAGTTTTTGCCTTCGCATGCTTCTCAACCGACAGGTTTTCGGTTTGAGGGATTTTGGAATTTAGGGCCTTGGAATTTCGGTTTGGAGGTTTGGGTTTGGGTTCACGTAGTGTTGCAGAAAGCTTGAGCTACGTACCCAAAGCTTTTGACCCTGCAACCGGAGTTGCCCACCTTACACCAAAATTGCAACCTGAAAACTTGAAAAGGGGAGGAGACTGTCTCCTTATAAACAGCGGGCTTTTCGTCTAGGCTTCACAGTCTTTGCAGGACAAACTCTAGAACAGAAAACACAGCTTCAAAACCCTGGAAGACCGTCCTAAACCCTGATTGCAGCCAACAAAAAACTCCAAACACCTGAACGGCGCTCAGCAGCAAAGGTTTTGAAAGTCAGATGCCATGCTCCTTGAGCCATGTGAGAAGCTTGAAGTGGGTCGGTTTCAATGTGATTTGCCCACCGTGGTGCGCAAGTTTGTTTGCTGCAGCCATGTGGTCAGTGCTTTTTCGCTCTGCCGATTCCTGAAGAAGCATGAGGGCATCTGTAGTGAATTTCACATCCGGACGCTTATCGCCAGGGTAGCGTTCCTGGAGGATTTCCTGCACGATGCTTTTCGTCAGAGGATGCAAGCTGAAAGCTGTCTTTGGGATTAAGTGACGGCTCGCCCAATCAGGAGATTGAAGCTTCTTGATCTCTGCAGCCACAGAGTCGACTCTCGGGCCAGAATGCACGCGTCCACTCGTGTCTTTCGGGGCTCGACCACGACGTTGCACGGCCGCAGCCTTGTTGTACTCGCTCTGGCCGGATGCCGCTGCTATTCACTTCCGCTTCTTCTTGCCGTTGTGCTCGTCAGCACCAGCTTCCACCTGCTCCGCGTGCACCACGCCCAAATCATTATCTATCTCCTGGAGGGTGTCAAGCAACATCAGGCGAACAATGAGCGAAATAGTACGTAGATAATATGCGCTGTAGTGCAGGTAGGAATTTCCAGTACTAAAGTTGTACTACAACCAAGCACAGTCCAGCCAGGATCCCTTAAACGAGGCGCTTTCCAGTACGCAGTACAACCAAGCAGAGTCCAGCCAGGACCCCAAACGAGGCACTTCCAATACTAAAGTTGTACTACAACCAACAAGCACAATCCAGCCACGACGCCAAACGAGGCACTTTCCAGTACGTACTGCAAGCACAGACCAGCCAGGACCCCAAACGAAGCACTTCCAGTACTATCGTTGTACTATTTACAACCAAGCACAATCCAGCCAGGACCCCAAATGAGGCACTTCCAATACTAAAGTTGTACTACAACCAAGCACAATCCAGCCACGACGCCAAACGAGGCACTTTCCAGTACGTACTACAACCAAGCACACAGACCAGCCAGGATCCCACACGAGGCACTTCCAGTACTATCGTTGTACTACAACCAAGCACAATCCAGCCAGGACCCCAAAATGAGGCACTTCCAGTACTAAAGTTGTACTACAACCAAGCACAATCCAGCCAGACGCCAAAAGAGGCATTTCCAGTACAACAGTTTGGTACTAAAGGCGCTTGTGCAAGGAACTCGTAATACCAACTAGACCGCGTATTTTTACGACTTAGAGTCTTGGTTTTCTCGAAGGTCTGCCCCGTAGTGACCTGTAATAGTATGAAGACCACCTAAACAAGAGAAGTATTCCACTAGGTTTAAGGTTTAGGGTTTAGGGCATATACTGCCAGGTAAAGTTGGGCTGTGGAACTTGCCTCGTCATCGAGCTTGACTTGCAGAACAACTCGAGGTGTCGAAAGTACTGACGCCTCTTGGACCGCATTGTCCTGACCCATCTGCATCATAAAATGCCAGACATCTTGAAACTCTTCTGAGCACACCCAGCCAGTGCTTGCGTCGCCGCTGCCATGCAACACAAACACCCGCTTCCAGAGAGCTCCTGAGCCAATCTCCGGAGTGGATGGCGCATAGCAGGGAAACAAGGCGAAGGGCGGCACTTTCTGGACCATCGGCGCTGTGGACGACGGAGCATTACGACATTACGAATCCGGCCGTCTCTGAGGCTTCTGCACTGACAGTGAGGTTGAAAGTAACTACACCATTCGTCCACGATGCCGTGTCGTGGGGCAACATTGCGTAAGTTCAAACCCCACACCCTACAAACCCTGAGCCCTACACCCTAATACCCCCTAAACCCTAAGCCGTAAGCCCTATAATTACACCCTAAACCCTAATAGAGGTCTTAGATGGAAGGCCTTCGCAGCCGTGTAGACGACAGCTCCAGGGCTATGGGTTGGAACCTGGGATTCGGGGTTTAAAGGGAGGAGCAACGAGAACTGACGTCATGGCGTTGATAGTCTGCATGGGTTCACCACAGACCCCGTTTGTACCTATATATGACTCTAAACCCT